CATCGCTGGAAATTGATTGTGGTTTGGGAGGTGTTTGGGAGGGTTCGATCCCCTCACCTACAGCAAATGGTGTATGGAGTTACTCTTGCCCTCCTTCGCCAAAGAGAATTTCTGTCAGAACAACCGAACAGCGTGCACTGCGGCCTATTTCAAGGAARCCTCAGACTATTGTCAATGAATATGGTCCGTGTGCCCACTCACATGCAGTCGTCTTGACTGCCACAGCCATGGTCAGTGAATCATACCCTGACATCTGACACCCTGCCTGGAGCAGACACCATCTGTGAGAAGAGCACTTTCTTTTCCTTTTTCGCAGTTTTTTCTTCATTTGTTTGGTCATGAAATGTTTCTTTGCGTTTATTTTCCCTATTTCACGCTGCCACCCACCTGTCCCACCTGTCCCACAGCCGTCACACTAATCCACATACATGGCTAGTGGGATCTCCCTCCTGGAGGGGCAAAAAAAGAAATTGGATCCCACAGTGCCCATTTCTTTGGGGATCTCAGAATACAGTGGAGCTGGGCTGTAGTGTAGTGGTGAGATCAGGCCCTTAGCATCACCATGGCCCCTGCGCTGCTGCGCAGGAATGACGCGCGCACAAATCGAGAAATGGTCCAAATTCAAAGAAACAAAATAAAAAAGTAACAATTGCAGGCCGAAGAGAAGTAATGATAAGGAAATAGTGGAAAAGTTATAAAACCTCCCCGCAACGAAAGCTCTGTATTCATTTCATTTGCCCCTGAACGGGGCATAAAGTGTTGCAGGCCCCAAAATGACTTTTCATGTCAGTTTTTGCACCCTGGCTGGGCCTATAAAAACCAGCTGCCAACAACCGCGGGGCAGGGCGGGGCGGGGCAGCCGCCGGAGCAGTACCAGCATCAGCTTGTCAGCCTGATACCCGCAGCTGATGTAATCATGGTGTACTGGTGGTGTAATACAAGAAAAGAAGGGAAATTTTATTCCATATGAATGTCTTGCATTAAGTCGCGTAGAATGCCTCTCCCTAGACCTCCATGACCACCATCTTCTTCTCTAAACCCCATTCCCAACCTCATCCCGGGAGCTCGCTGCTGCAGCGAGTGTCTTCCTGTTCCGGGTAGGGGTGACGACAGCCAGCCTCCCGCTCAGAAAGCTTCTTAGGCTTGGATAACCCACAATGCATTTTTACAAAAAAAATAAATAGAAAAAGTCCCTGGAAAGTAGGCACCTTGGCATTTGGCCCGTATAATTGTTTTTGGGGTAACTTCAGTAGGGTCACAAAAACGAGTTATAATTGCACTATGGGGCTGCATTGGGGCAAGATACAGTTTGCAATTGCACTTCGGACACCCTACCTGGCCAGAAAGCTGGGTTGTATACATTGCCCAAACTGGAATTTGAAAATGTATCTTGGCCCATAGTGCAATTGTAACTCATTTTTGTGACTCCCTTGTAGTTTCCCCAATGTTTGAATCCCACCGCCCCGACCTTCGAGGGCTATCACAAGAAGTATGGCGGAAAGCGGTGGGTGTGCCAGGGACCTGTGGATTTCTATTGGTCTGACCCAAAAAAAAAAAAAAAAAAAAGAATAGAACTCCAATGGGACTGCCTGCTTTCAGGGAACAGGGAAGGGGCTGGCCGCTAGTTGGAAAATCTATCGCAGCCGTCCACACACGTCATAAACACAGAGTAGAAACAGGAGTCTTTTTTGGAGGCCACCCATGGCCCCGGTACCATGTGGGATCCCTCTTCAAGTAAAAAAATGCCCTCACTAACAGAAGTGGGATCCAAAATCATCCAAGCCTTCCCCTTCCTCTTCGGCGATTTCGCCACGTTCACCCCCCCCCCCCCCCCCCCCCCCCTCTCTCTCTCTCTCTCTCTCTCTCTCTCTCTCTCTCTCTCTCTATCTATCTATCTATCTATCTATCTATCTATCTATCTCTCTCTCTGTACTTCCTTCTCTTTCTCTCTCTCTCTCTCTCTCTGTACTTCCTTCTCTTTCTCTCTCTCTCTCTCTCACACACACACAGACACATACAAAGACAAAAATGTACCTACCGGTCACTGTCACGGGGGGAGTCTGCCACCTTCACCTCCAGCATACTCTCTCTCTCTCTCTCTCTCTCTCTCTCTCTCTCTCTCTCTCTCTCACACACACACACACACACACACACACACACACANCACACACACACACACACACACACAAACACACACACACTGGCACGCACACACACACACACACACAGACGCATGTAAATATATACTTACAGGCACGTTTAGTTCCGGCGTACAGGATGGGAGGTGTGACCAAGTGTGCAGACCTCTCCGTCCTTCGCGTCTCTGCGTCTAGACAGAAGGATCCGGGAACAATAAATGTAAATACTG